CCCCCCCCCCCGACCCACCTGCAGCAGCCCAGGGAAACAGGGCCTGTGGTCAGGTTGTCTCAGAGGTACTTGGAGACCCTTGGAAGATCTTGGACTTGGACCTGTGCATGTTCACACACACACATACGGAGAAGTCCAACAACCAGCCTTCCCCGCACCACGGCCGGTGGCTTGTCTTCACAGGCAGACTGTTTTAACCCTCGAGGACTTGTGAAAGGGACATGCTTCTCACTCACAAGTGTGGCTGGTTTTTCTCTGTAAAATGCTCTGGATATTTTGATAGTCTTGTGATTGATACCATTGTAATAAAGTTTATTTTCACCTAACACAAATATGAGATTTTAAATGAGATTCATGACTTCGAAGAATGCGGTCGTGTTTGCCACTCCTTTGCCTTTTAATAAACGGGAGAGCCATTGGAGAAAACAGAATAAATGTGTTTTGTTTCCTCAAGACAAATTTAAGTAAACAGAAGAAATTTTCATTTTTTTTTTAAGATTTTATCTATGTATTTGACAGAGAGAGAGCACAAGTGGGGGTGGGGGCAGAGGGAGAAGCAGACTCCCCGCCGAGCAGGGAGCCCGATGCAGGGCTCAACCCCAGGACCCCGGGATCATGACCTGAGCCGAAGGCAGACGCTTCACTGACAGAGCCACCCAGGCGCCCCAAATTCTTCATTTTTAGTTACAAGTTTTGTTTCCCCACAAATTGGAAGGAAATTCAAGGTTCTGGGTGAGACTCGGGGTCGGTGGCCTCTGCCTGAGTCTCCCCTCTGTCCGGTGCTCCTTGGCGGCATGTAGGGTGAGCCCCCCCACCTGCCTGCAGTCGGGGGTCTCGCCCCCAGTGTCTCCCCACAGGAATTGAGCCTTTCGAGGTGGGGGAGTAATTTCAATACGTTTCTTTTTCTGTTTGTTTTAGTTAATGTGGAGCTCAGAAACGCCTAATTTTGCACAAAAGACTGCCAAGGACACGATCAGCATCTGGCTACAGCCTCAGTTTATCTTTCTTTTTGTGGTGAATTGATTTTTCTTTTAGCCAAAGTTTAGAAGATGTTCGCAGCGCCTAGGGTTCTTGTAGATGGTGAACCGGAGCGTCTTCCACTTCGCAGGAGTCGATGAGACGTGGCCGGGTTTTTCTTCTTGCTTCCTCCAAACATACACTTACCCTGCACCACCGCGCGGCCAGCCCTCCCACGTCCTGGAGCGCGCCCGCGTGTGTGCCCACGCAGCCCACCCTCCACTTCCAGATCCAGCGAGTGTCGCTTCTGTAGAGTGCACGCCTCATCCCCACTCGGTAAATGAGCACAGGCCTCGGCGAGGACAGGGAGCCCCACAGCCTGGTGCGTCTGGAAAGCCCGGTGCACCTGCCGGGGGCGGGGCCTATATCCCGGAGGCCCGGCCCTGCTGATCGAGCGGATCTTCAAGGCGCCCTGGGGAATAGCAGAGAGTAAGTGGAGTTTTACATGTCAAAAGAGACCGAGAATGTTCCCCGGAAGTCTGGGAACCTGTGAAGACAGGTGTTTCTGACCCGCCCCCACCCCCCCACCCCGGGGCCTGGCCTCTGCCATTGACTCCGCCCTTTTCAGAGGCCACGGAATTAGGATTTTTCAGTGACTGCAGACAATAGCATTTTTCCATTTAGCAATTCAAGAACGACTTTAGTTTGGAGGATAAACTCCTTAAAGGCAAAAATGTTTATTTTTCTGTCTCTCCCTTGTCCTCCTTGGCACGAGATAAAAAGAGTAAAAATAGTTGTTATCACCCAGCAAAGAGGGATGGCTTGTCGGGGACACTGGGGCCAACCAGAGACTCCCGTGCCCACTGCACTCGGACCCCCACCCCCACCTCTCTTTCTAAGTCACACATATATGCGGAGAAAGTATGTTCTTCATGAGGTGTTGCCCTCGTATACCCCAGATACGCCAGGACCTGTGCTAGATAATCGTAGACAAGATGTTAGCCCCGCTAGAGAAGAGAAACATGGCTTCCACTGAGGCAGGGCGCCGGGGCCGGGCCCAGCTGCTTTGCCGGAGGCCCGGCCTCGGGCAAGTGAGCAGGAACGCCCCAGGGTGGATGCGCACAGCACACAGCTCTCCCTGACAACACGAAGGGGTCTCAAGACATTCCGCCTACCTGTGAGCTTTCCTTTATTTTTTTAATTAAGTTTTTTGGGGGGAAAAGGGTATTTTTGAAAAGTTTGTCTTGCAATGTATTTATAAATAGTAAATAAAGTTTTTACCATAAGGAAACCCCCGTCCCCGTGTTAGTGACTGGCTCCGGGTTTTGCGTCACTAGGGAAATCCAGGAGAGAGTAAGATGTTCTGAGCACAGCTGAAGCCCCCCGTAGACAAATGCCTTCGCCTGTCCCGCCTTCGGGGATAGAACCCCAGCAGGACCCCTGGGAGGCCTCTGCTAGTGCCCACGGAGGCACTGGGCCACACCTGCTGGGGACCTGCAGTTCTAGGAGGTGGATGTGGGCTCATTCCCGCCGCAGGAGTGCGCAGCAGATGAGCAGGTAGCCCTCCGTGGCTGTCCAGCCTTTACTGCATTTAGGGGGTGCCCCCCGGAGACCTATCTTGTCACCGCTCTGAGTTCAGGGCCAAGCAGGGCAGGCATGTAACACACACTGGACAGCCTCCCCTGTGGCCCTTTCTTCTTTTCGTCCCTCTGCTTGGAGGGCAGTGGACAAGGCCGGAGGAGAGGGAGACCCGGAGGATGGTGGGTGGGCTCCCGCCTTGGTGGCCCTGGCATAATTGTGCAGGTGCCTTCAGGCACCGATGACGAATCTCCCGTCACAGAATGGCCTGTTCAGAGCCATAACTGACCCTTTAAAGAAGCACCTGAGATGGGTCCATCCTGCAGAACTGTATCGAGCTCCGTAGCTAGCGTCAAGCTCCGTGGGTCTTCATAGGACAAACGAGGAAGAGCATGGCACAGACGGTCCACCGTCGGTCCACCGTCAGGCGGGGGCTGTGCCTGCCAAGCTGACCCGGAGGAGGGAGGGAGCCCGGGAGCAGAGCAGGCCCATGGGGGCAGCAGGTGCCAGGGGGCCGTGGGGTGCTTGGGGTGCACGAGTCCAGGAGGTGTCTGGGCATCCAGGACTGGAGTGCCACAGGGCCTTTAAAGCCTCTGCAGGTGAGAGCCACGTGTGATGTCAACTCTCCAGGCCCCTGGGCCGGCCTTGCTGGGAGCGTGGCATCCTGTGCCCTCCTTAACCCCCACTCTACTTTGACCCCTTTCCTACTCCCTGCCCTCCTGTCATCTCTGATAAACACGTGAAGTTGCACACGTCTGCTCCCCTCCGCACCAGCCCCTGGGAGTCCCTTCAGCCCCCCACACCACGTGTCCCCAGCCGCCATCCCCCAAACACACACACAGAAATGAGCATGCCAGGGCGTGTGTGTCACCGGGCCCGGGGGACACCGCTGCTCCGGCAGTTCTCTGGAGTCCCCCGGGGTCCGACCAGCCAGCCACATGCAAAAGTGTGACAGTCACCGGTGTTGAGGAGGGTGTCATGGAAGGGGCTTCTCCACCATGGCAAGCTATCCAGAGAGGCTCGCCTCGTTCGGCCGGACTCCTGGGACCCAGCACTCCTCCCAGACACGCGCCTGAAGGCAGTGCTGGAGGCCTGCACGCGGCACCAGGACGTTTTCAACTGAAACACGTTCCTTGGAAAGGAGTGTGAGGTCACCCACCCTGTTATTGCTGCCAGCGATACGGAAAAATGCTCAATGTGGGTGAACACGAGAGCAGATGCTGTCGTACTGTGTACACGCCCACGTGCCCACACACGCACTCACACGCGGGTACACATGCACACAGGCGTGCACACAACATGCATACACGTACACAGAACATGAACCCGACAAAAAGGACACACAGCACAGCGTCTGCCCTGGTTGTGCGAACGTAGACGCGGTCTTTATTTTACTTCCACTTCATTACAGTGTCAACAATTTCTGTAGCGACGTGAATGTATTCCTTTTAATTTGGAAAAGGCGGCTGCTCATCTCGCCAGGGCCACTGCCTGTCGCTGGGGAGCCTGGACAAGGAGCCTGCGCTTCTGGGCTCCCCCCACCCCAAGTCTAGCACTGTCCCCAACCTGGGAAGTGGCCTGGACCCCCCTCCCAGCCTCCAGTTCAACCAGGATTGCCTTTCCACCCCATCTGTTCCGGGACAGCGCCCACAGGCAGTGCGCAAAATGTGCAAAACCACTGCTCCTGGGGAGGAAGGCAGCGACAAGCTTCAGGAGGGGCACGCGCGGCTGGGAAGGAGCAAGTACTGCACACAAACAGCCACCCTTCCTCTCATTCCCTTTCCTTGTCCGCTTTTAATGTGGGAGCTGGTCAAGGAAGGCCTCGTGGGGGTAGCTTTCCAGTGGGACCCAAGGAGGCCAGGGAGCAGCCATCCCACGCCGGGGCCACGGTGAGCCAGATGCACCTGACACCTGATGTCTGCAGGTG